AGTTTGAATCTCTTAGCTGTTCTGTGGGAGAAGGATGTTGTAGCAGCCTGTTTCTGTGGATTTATGGCCTCGTAAACCATGTAGGGCCGTTATGCTGTGTTCTACAGGGTTGCTGTGCATTGGAAAGAACTCAGCAGTGGCAGTGGTTAAACGACAGTTAACGTGCAACCAATGCCTTTATGACATGGAGCGTTATTACATAGATACATATCGCATGTATGTCAAGTCACATTTCCTCAGATATATTTTATTCAGTCGTATCTGCATAACACAGTATGGAAAGCTAGCCTATTATGCAGAACAAAGTCCTTTCGTTGCATCTCATGGTTCAGTTTTGCATAGAGTCATCTCAAGTCTGATGTGGGGCCTTATGCCAACTCTAGATTACCTCTAAAACGCTGCAGGAAAATCCTGATCCACAGAGACCAATCAAAGCAGGAAGGTAAGAATTTACTTCCTGAACTGATGTGTCCACATAGACCAGTCTCTGAAATTTTTTTTTCCTAGGAAATCGTGGAAATCATCTGAATTTTCTGAATTGTCACAACCACCCACTTGACTTTATTATCTTTTTTTCTCCCAAATCTCTGCTTTAGGTGACAGTTTGCAGAGTAAATCAAGTTTCAACTCAACAGTTCATATACAAATTGTTTCATGACAATGGCCACAATCTCCAAAACATCAGCGCTCTCACCATTTCTACTCCATCATCCATCCACTTCTGCAGTCACCATGACCCTCCCTGCCATTTCATTTTCACATTTGGGTAAACGATGCATGTTTGGTGTCATGTAGTTGATTGTTCATTCAATGTAAGAACATTCCTTGTGAGTGGTTGTATTTATATGACAGGGTTCCGGTGGCCTAGTGGCAAGAAGCTGCGCTGCAAATCTCAAAGCTTGCAGTTCAAGGCCACCAGCTGCTCTGCAGGAGAAAGATGGGCAATCTCCTCCCTTGTGATTAACTGCCTCTGAAAACCCCCTGGAGGGTCAGCTATGGGTTGGTTCCAACTCTACAGAACACAACAACAACAACAACAATCTATTATTTGGCTGAAATATGACCTCCATGAATGACAAGTGAGCACAGAAGTTCTTCTATACTCCTTCACATTTAAAAAGTCTAGTCTTTTTAAAAGAATTTTTGTTTTGCCCTACCCTCTGAGACTTTCTATTGTGTTCCTGGCCATAGTAGTTGATGACAGAAGTTAAGCACCATCTAAGTTTTTTGGTCTAAGATTAGAAGAGGCTCTGTGGCTTATATAGAAAGGCCACTAGTCCACAGACTAATTTCTTCTTTAAGTCTTTGATTTTCTCTCCTTTGCTCCAGATGAGAAGAGACCTATATTTGTATATTAGGTGGCTCCTTGCAAGTTTTTAAGACCAAGTAACTACTCACCAAAGTAGGTTGTAAAACAGTGTCCTCTGAGATTGTACCAACTGACCTGGATGTTCCCTAAGACTATGGTCCTAAACGTTAAAGACCAATGGCTTGGTCTCTCTAAAAGGTATTAGTTTTTGGTTAAGAAGTTTGCAAAGTTTGCCCCTATGTATTCTATTATATACCTGGACAAATTTGCAGGACAAAATACATGTGTAGTGGGTGCAGTCACATACCTTATCCCACACCTGTTCAGCTTACACAACTATGCATACGCTCGTAAATTATTGTTTGTTACTACTATTTTGCAGGATTGTGTAGATAATAGTCTTTATCATTGCTGTCTTTCATGTTTGCAGACCACCAAGTGTCTTTCTGTGCCTGCTGACGCTGTCCAGCCTCTCCCCTACTGCATGTTGTCTTTCATTTCATCCAAGTTAATATGTACCTGCTGTCTAGTTCATGATTTTTTCCTTCCCTACAAAGGTAGGGTTTTTTTTTAATCTGCAGCCCTCAGGCCAAATTTTAATTGTTTTTGGTAAAAAATTCCTCTAAATGGTATAGCACTGGTCTGTGCATTGCTGTACAGAGGTAACTCATGGTTGCTGTGGTCCTAAACACTGTGACACTGATGTGTCTAATGCAATCATGGTTACCCATGGTGGACAGTGTTTGGTGGAGCTTCCTGATTAAAACAAGCTTGGAAGCAGCAGCCGCATCCACTTCCGATATAGCTTGCCTCCAGAAACTCTTTGAACTTGGAGAAACAATGAAAGTTATACAAGTGTTCAGATCTCTCGTTCATAGGGTCGCTATGAGTTGTCTATGGCTCAATGACACTTAACAACAACAACAACAACCACCTCTTTTATCCCTGTTGTTGTTGTTTACCATCAAGTCTGAACCCAGAGCTGACACTCCAGCGGGTTTTCAGAGGCAGTTAATCCCAAGGGAGGAGAATGCCCATTCTTCTCCTACAGAGCAGCTTCTGGATTTGAACTATGTGCTTTTGGGATTGCAGCACAGCTTCTTATTACTAGGCCACCAGCACTCTTTAGTCAAAATGAAATTCCATTAAAGAATGCTTCTTTCTGTGTATAAACTTCTCTAGCTTTTAGGACTTCAAACACTACTCACCAAACCAGGATGTAGAACATGATCTTTATGAACATTGCCATATGCCAATTGACCTAAACGTTCAGGAGCCTCGAAACCCCGTGAATCAACTGCATACGAGCTTGCATCCATCTAGGAAGAACTATAAGAACTATACCACTAGGTAATTCATTCACTCACTGCGATTTGAGTTGGTTGGGACTTACAGTGACCCTTCATTGGGTTTCCACAGTTGTTAATCTCAAAGGGAAGAGAAATTGCCCATTTTTCACCCTCGGAACAGCTGGTTGACTCAAGCTGCAAGAAACTGGCAGTCCTTGAGTGTACACTCAGCTCACATTTTCACATGTCTCCAGGTTGGCATTTTGCAATGCTAATTAAGGGACACTAAGAGGGAATCTCTAGTCCCTGGATGGCCAAACAGTGAAGGTGCTGGGCTGTGAGCCAAAGTGGTGAAGCTTCACGTCTACCCAGGGAGGGCGCAGAAAAAAAGGCCTAGTGATCTTTCCAAAATGTCAGTCACTGAAAACATATGGAGCATGGTTCTTCTCTGATACACAGGGGTATTAACTTCCAGCAATTGGTTTGGTTGATTTTTTTTTTTTACAGGGTGAGTACACTTAGGTAAAAGAAACAGACCTTCACACACCAATGTTTTACCTTTAGCCAGCTGTATGGTCGACTCAGAGAACCGTGCTACTGAGTCGGCTTCTGTAACCAGTGATAGCAACTGCCAGGCCTGTTCTACCTGCCGGACAGGCAGGTCACAGTCCAGTTCACAGCTGCACAGGACCCAGACAGGGTCTAGGGCCATGTCACAATGACAAAGCTGGTGGTCCTTAAAGGCTTTTGCTATGGGTATCACATCCCTTTTTGATGAAATAGATATTTTCCTGCCAACATGGCTCTGTTTCTTATACCTTGATGCTTTCCAGTCTGATAACTCTTCAAATTAGATGCTTTCTAGAATATAAAAGTGAATCTGTCTTCCTTTTCTGTCAGTGTTGTGCCATATGAAGTTTGCTCAGACTGAAAAGATCTGTATTAGACAAACTGGAATCACTGAGTGGGCCTATGGGGTTAATTTTCCAGATTTTTCTCTACAGATCACCAAGTACATGAGGCTAACAGCTATCTGATTTTAGCAAGAAAACTGAAGCTTATTTTGGATGAATGGGGCTGTAATTTAATTTTTGCAATTAGAAACATTCACAACTCAATAAATGACAGCATGTGTTTGGAAATACTTGGAGGATGACCTTATCTATTCTATTTTAGCCTTAGGTGGCTGAATTAAAAATCCCAATTCCTGGGGGGAGCTCTGGTGGCCTAGTGGCAAGGAGCTGCAACTACAATCCCACAGGCACACAGTTCAAATCCACCAGATGCTCTGCCGGAAAAAGTAGGAACAATCTCCTCCTGTACCAGTCAGATCTGATTTGACAGTGCACTCACACAAAAATTAAAAAAAAAAAATCCCAATTCCTACTGAAGTCTTTAAAATAAAAAAATTGTTAACTACGATGATACTTTCCCCTGACTAAATAATGAAGAAGAGTTGGGGCTTTGCCTGAAAGGACACCATTTCCAGAAGTCAATTTGCTTTTGACTTCATTAAAGCTCTAAAACGTGGGTGGTTAATCTGAGCGAAAGCTGCCATTCTCTGAAAATGTATTACGATTTAACTGGACGGGTGGTTGCGTGACAGAGGCCATTTAGGATTAGGGAGTAGTTGTGATTGGGATTTCAATTAATTGCATGCTATTTTCAAATTCTTCAGCAGTTAATTTGGATCATTTCCATTCCGCTGCAAAGCACAAGACAGACCTTTCCGCCTACTTACCCCAACTCAGATGTCAGTTCCCAGAGGACTGAGTTTGTCCTACAGATGTTGGCTTTGATGAGGATGAGCCCTGGGGATGCTAAACTTTCCACTGAATTTATCCCCTCTTTCTGAATACTATTTAAATCACTGCTGCCTCAAGCAGAGGGCTGGTCCTTGCTTCAAAGGAGGCTAAAGAGTGAATTATTTACCAAATTGCACAAAAGGTTTGTCTTCTGAGGACACCGCCCCCCCAACCAGAGGACTTTATGACTCGCTCTCTCTTAGCTATAAATTATGCCATTCAGATGCTTCTGAAAGCTTCTCTTCATGCTCTTGCTCAAGTCATAAAACTTGATACCTGGGGCCAAATGCCTTTATCCCCTCAGAGGGGTGAAGAAGGTGAAAAGGCAGCAATTCTAGGGCAATGCCACCCAAAACAGAGAACTGGCAGGGGAAATGTGGGCAGGAGAGGCAGTTACTGCACACACCTCAAGCCTTCCTCCCCCTAGTCTACTCTGAAATGAATTTCACCATTTGCACATTAGCAGCAACTTTCAAAAACCTGAAGCAGCTGCTCTGACAACACTAGGTTTACACCCAATACCATCAAGTGGGATTCTGGTCATTGTCTGTAATACCGGGATTCAAATGTGTGAATTTCAGTAACCCAACCACTCACCTGGAGAGGGTTTGCTGGGCCCTGCCTTCTCGGACTTCTTTGGAGTCATGGTACTTTTATGTTTCTGCTTGACTGATGAAGTTTGGTCAATTGCTGGAAGTTTGGAGTCACATTTAGACAAGGAAGTCTTGGCAGATAATCCTGGTTCAGTGACAAGATCCTCCTCAGCAACACTCTACCAAAAACACAAGGTGTCTGGGTATCAGTGACCAAGTATGTAATTTTCAGTAGACAAGGCAATGAGAAACAAGACTGACACAGTGACCCCTCCCCTCCACCAATGACACTGCAGCATTCTGCCATGCTGACGGCATTCTTTGGCTAGCGAGATTTTGATTGACAGGGCATCTCAACTTGGAAATAACAGCAAAATTAGCTACTTAATGAGTCTGCCTTGTAGAACAATAGGAGAAGAACCTATTTATGATCCTTAAGCAATCTGATGGCAGAAACAATTAATGCTCTTTGCTGTGTGTCATTTGAATATAAGGGGGAAATGTCCTTTACGTTTATCATGGATTTGACAGTGAAAAGGAAACTTAGATAGTGTGACAGCCAACCTCAGTTTCAATACTCTGAATTATTGGGTGCAATACAAGCCTAAAAAAAGGTCCCTCCTTGCCAATCTTCTCTAAAGAATTCAGTAGAACTCTACAGATGAACAGATCATGATTCCCTCAGGTTTGGACTTTTCCAAAACAGACAGGTGGACCAGAAAACAAGTCTCTAATCATTCAAAAGTTTTATGGCTTATTCAACACTTAGGCACACCAAAGAGCTCTCTGATGGCCAGTGGTTAAACACATGACTGCTAAGGAAAAGGCTGGTAGTTCTGAGGAAGGTATGGCCCCCGGTTACCACAAAGATTCACAGTCGTCGAAACCCCATGGGCCGTTGACCTTGTGCTGTAGGGGCCCAACGAACCAGTCGACTAAACAGCAACAGATCTGCGGATAGTCTCTGACTATCAGAGACCTGGTTCGACAGAGCAATTTAAGGACAGCTTTGTTGTTTTAAGGGAGTCCTAGTGGCATGGTGGGTTATAAACTGAGCTGCTAATCAAAGGGCTAGCAGATCTTCAGAAACATGGCCAGTCTGATCCCATGAATGAAGTTTGCAGCCTCGGAAATGCAATGGCGGGTTGCCAGGAGTCAAGTGCAATTTTAGGCTCTGGTTGTTAAGTCTCATTTGCTAGACTATAGTTACACATTGTGCAACAAACACCACTGGGGAACGTCTCTTAAGTTTTCTTACGTTACAACCCCCTCAAAACCACCAATGCACCCATCTGGTTGACATCAAGTCAATTCTAACCCATGTGTTACAGAATAGAACTGCACTAAGAACTGCACTAAGGTTTGTAAGCAGACAGCTGGTTCTTTCTCCGGAGGTACCTTTCTCTAGGTGGGTTCAAACCCCCAACTTTTCAGCTGGTAGTGCAGCACTTAGCTAGTAGATGGAGCTACCCCCAAGACTCCACATTGCTATTAATCCTGTAATGCCGTCCTCTGACAAGGTGGTCTTTTGCAGCCATGCTAAGTTAACATTCTGTCCAACTACCCCTCCACCCCCCATCCCCTGTTGCAATTTGTATTGATCTTGCTTTTCCTCTGCGCTGACAGTTGTGGCATTTTCATTTCACAGGCTGCTGACTCAGGAAAACACTCTGAATAGCTCTGAATTATTGGGTACAACATAAGAGAAACTAAACTCCAAAAAATGCCCCCTACTTATCAGTCTTCTATAAAGAAGTCTGTATAGATCTACAGGTGGACAGATCATTATCTTTCTAGATTATAAACCATGGTTTGCAATATAGAGTCTAGATAAAGCCTTCAAATAATTATTGTTTCTCTGTATGTTTTCAGGAAACAGACCACCATAAGATACAGAGCCAGGAAGAGCACAGTATACAACGTGCTGACTGTTCTCCTTTTCCCTTTCAGCTCTGGAGTTTAACGAAATCCTTACAAATTACTCTGAAGTGCCAAAGGTGAAACATTAGGTCATTAAAAAATATGAGCTAGGTTCTCGATAGCCAGAAAAGAAATGTGAGTAGATGTTATTTATTTTTCATTGTGATTTGAAGGAAAGTTAGCAAAGCAAATTAGTTTCCATCTAACCATTCAAATACATTTTTCTTTTTGATAATTAAAATACCCACAGTGTAACCATACTCTTCCTACTTATTCTCTGTGATCCTCATTTCTACTAAGGATTCCATTTTAATCCATTCGCACAATGGAATACTATGCTGCATTGAAAAACAAGGAACTCATGCAATATTATTCAAAATGGTTGACTCTGGAGAACATTATGCTGAGTGAAATATCCCAGTCACAAAAGGACAAATATTACATGATGCCACTGTTGTAGAATGGGACTGTCCTTGGGGTTAGGGAGACACTGAGTAAGATGGGTTCAATAATGTATACTGCACTGAAGCAGAGGAGGGAGAGAACCGTCTAAAAGAGAGATGTAACTGGGTATTTCTGTCATCACAGGAGACTAGAGCGAGGGCTGCATGGTGGAGGGGACCTGGGGGAGGGTTTGTAAAACAATGAAAGAATCTTTTCTTTTACTTTTCCATAATTTTTGGACTCATGTACTTATAACTTGTTAGTCAAATTTGTGTCTTCTAGGTTGCAACACCCCCATGATACATCTTGAAGGATATGTACATGTACAGCCAAGCACAATCAATAAGAGTGCATCTGAATTCCAAAATCAATCTCCATAATAGTCTATGTGTTTCCTACTGCCAAAGGGGCCCTTTAGAGTAGTGAGAGAAGATCTTCACCCTGAAACCCACAGCGTCCCTTTTCAGCAGGAAGTAGCTAAGAGAATACGCCGTCCCCTTTTCCTTATGACTCAGGGTGAAGTCTCTCTCAGGGAGGAGTGATAGGGAATGGCAAAGGATACACTGACAAAGAAGATTAATCAGAACTGGCTTTGACAAGCACTGTGGCATTTGGACAAGAACAAACTGGGAGGAGGGTAGAGAGAATAGTGCAACAATGAATGAGTGGAAGCCCAAAATCTCTGTAAATGTTTATGAAAATTAATAAAATATAATTATAGAAAAAAAAAAAAAATCCTTCTTGCCTTCTGAGCTTCATCCTTGGGTACGGCTTCTGACCGTGGATGGCTGGTAATTCTAAGGAATGAGTACCACTCTGGTGTTAATAACTTCAGACCCTGCCTATTGTTTGACCTGAGAGTTGAACCACAGGGGGTGAGTTTTGTTTTGAGTTCAATGGATGATTAGTCTCAGGGGTTCCACTAGTCCTTACTGAACTAATAAGCCTGGCCATTACTATGTGTTTGAGCTTTATTCTGCATTTCCCCCAGGATCTTCTACTGCAATCCCTTTTTTAGGAATCTGCAGCGGAAGCTGGGCACTATACAGTTCTGGTCTCAGGGTTGTGGAAGTTAAGGTTCAGATGGCTTATTAGTCCTCTGAACTAATTATTTCTAGGCATCTTTTCTTTCTTCTTCTTTGTTCTGTTGCTGGGTCAGCTATGAGTCAGTTCCAGAGCAATGGCAATGAGGTAGAGTTGAATATTCTTAGTGATAAAGTGCTGATTATCTGTGGTTATACATAGTCTTCCCCTTCCCTCATATTAACACATGTCTATTATCTACTTCAAGAGAACACAGGTGCTCCTAGGAGGAGCCAGCTCACATACTTTGGCCATGTTGCTAGGGGAGGATTTTTCTTGGAGAGGGACATCATGCTTGGGAAGGTGGAGGGATGGTGAAGGAGAGGAAGACCCTCAAGTGAGCGGACTGACACACTGACTGCAGGAATGGGCTTGAGTGTGTCAGAGATTGTGAGGATGGCACAGGAGAGGGCAGGACTCAGACCTGTTGTTCATAATGGGGTTGCTATGAGTTGCACTTGACTCGACGGGACCTAACAACAACTCGTGGCACAGACTGTAGGAGGCTGTGCTGCTAACGCCAAGGTAGCAACGCTGTGCTGATTCGACTCCACCAGTGAGTCTGTGGGAGAAGGATGAACCACCTCCTCCCTGTGATTTACAGCCTCCCAACAAATGGCTGGACGGTACATTAGGAGTAGATCCAACTTGACGGCAATCAGTTTGCATTACTGATTTAACTCATCTCTCCCTGTCTCCTCATCCCCTTCCAATCTAAACTTTTCTTTAGCTTTTCATAACAGTGGACTCAGTATTTGTACTTTTATGACGGGCTTATTTTTCACTTAGCGTGATGTCCTCTAGTCTGATCCATGTTAAGCAATGCGTCTCAAAAATACTCATTCTTCTGTGGTGCTTCATAGCATTCCATTGTGTGTATACACCATAGTTTGCTTATCCATTCATCTGTAGGTGGACACTGGGGTTGTTTTTGTATTTTTGCTATTGTAATTATATGGTTTCCACATTTTTGCTAGTGGGTAGATTTTAATCCTAACACCTAAGATCCTAACTGGATCCTGGAAAAATGATAAGGCAGGAACAACACTAGTGAGCATGGGAGAGAATTTCTCCAATGAACTGCCCAACACAAACAGCTCACATTGGTGTAAAAATCTGTTCACACAGGTCTCCTCATGACAAGTCTGCAGAAAGGGAGAAAAGACGTTCTACATGGTCAAAAGATGCTCTGGAGTTGCAGGATCAGGAGATGTCTGCTAGTATTAGTGGGTCCATCATCATCACCCCCGGTGGCTGGATTGCTCAGCTTGACCCGAGGCAGTGGTGAGTTGGGAAGACTTAGAAAGGAAACTTTTGGTTGGTTTTTGTTTCTTAAAGAAACGAGACTTTAATTGGATAGATAAGCATGTCTAGGGAGTCTTGTATAACAAGGGGGTCGCTGCCAGCCAAAGGATTGGTGCTGCATGGTAAAAAGATAGGGCAGTCAGCTCCTGGAAAGTCTACAGTGCTGCAGAGTCACTTCTGATCCTTAGTGATTTTACGTACAACAGAATGAAACCCTATTTGATCCTGTCCTCTTCTCACAAGCTCTGCTACGCTTAGGCCCATTGTCACTGCCTCGGACGCCCTATGGGACATGTCGACTCTGCGCTGTAGGGTAGCTGTGAGTGGAAACTGGCTCAGTGGCAGTGGATTTCAGTTTGGGTGATCCATCAGATTGCACAGCTGCATTCCAAGTACATTCTGTCCTGGTTCCTGGGTAGCGGCATCA